CCTTGGGATCACAGGAAGTAGTGTTATCGGGCGATAATTTTCTGGATCAGCACGACTGCCACTTTTGTAGATTGGCGTGATGATTCCGTGCTTCCACATCGTGGGGATGTGCATCTCGTTCATACATCGTTGAAAGAAAATTGCTAGTGGTCCTGCCAAACTCATGGCAGCAACTTTCAACGCCTTAGGACGAATGCCGTCCGCACCCGGGGAGCTGAACTCGCGCAGAGACATCAGCCTCTTCAGTACAACTGCGGAAATGAACGATATGTGGTTTAGACCTGATGGCGGCGTTATCTGCTTAGGCAGGATGTATGGTGATTACACACATTGGAAGGTACGGCCAAATTGTTGTCCAAGGACGTTGGCCGCCTCTTGTGCAGTTTGGGCTAACCCGCATGCTATGTGCAGAGCAGGAATACCGCGCTTAACACGGCGCAAATTGTTTACCTGTCTGTGTAGCAGTTTGGGATTGTGGCGAAACTTTTCCACTATACCTTGTTGGTTCTTCAGTTTATCCTCCCGGACGAGTTTGACACAGTGGTTTCTTTGTATTGTGTAGACATCCCAGGTATGGTCGTTCGGGGAGGATATGTAGGTGTGCCATGCCGTCCCTTAATGCCATGTATTTACGTTTCCTGCTCCTTACGAAAGACTTCGTCCTTTTAGGCCGGAAGAGTTTGGTTTCAGATGTCCTTGCCATGAGCTTGGTAAATATGTTGACGAATTCTCTGCAGGCCACCTCAGGGGTTAGTTCAGCTAAGAACGACCAGCTAGTTGCATCAATGAGGTCGGACAGGTCGTCATAGTTGGTTACGGCATGATATTCCTCGGCATGCCTTTTAGGATAATCCGCGTAGCACATGTAATAAAACACTAGCGTCGCATGATCACTGCGGCCCAAAGGAGTATCGGTTATCACTCTCTCGACCATTAATTCTTCATTGGTGAATATTCGGTCCAATTTGGATGGCCTGTCAGTTCCCCTGAACCTGGTGGGCGTAGTGACGTGGCCATAAAGCGGGAAGTCCGAAACCAG